TAAGTGTCTCAGCATTGTTCCGACTCACACATATATCATCTTTCTCCATGATGTGGGCACACTGGCATTTCTCTAATTTTCTACCATGTTAGGCTGGTGCGAGTGCAAAGCAGTGCAGGGGATTGTGGGAAATGTGGGCTGCCCCTGGGAATCTTTAGTTCCCACTGGAACGGAGAGGCGGGAAATGCTTCCTTGCCAAATAAAACAGCTGAACAAAAGATCTGGAGAGGGAGAGCACAGATTGGACAATTGGACAGTGCAGGGAAGAAGAGAAAAAAACGCACGCACACTTCCACATGCTATTGTTCTTGCAGTGTGAAAGTAAATTTGGGTTTAAGATCATTGAGAAGGTTATTTGTCAAAACTAAGCATGGAGAACTGGATCTGAAGGCCTGAATTCACACTGTACTTGTGCATATGACATTAATGTACGTTGAAACCATGACACGCTAGTTTTGGTCTGGTTTGTCTCTGTAATCACATCTCACGCTCACATTCACACACCCTATTCTAAGCTTCCTCGGCCCTGTAATTAAAATCCTGCCCTCTCCAAAAATACATCCTGACCCTACGACCCGCGCCACAGAGGGAGTGTGTGTTTCACGATTATCTGGAGAGAGCAACCTCTGTCTGAAATGAAAATATGGAAGGGAATTGGAAAAGTTTGAGCTCTATTCAGACAAAAAGCTCACATCCTAAGTTGCTGTCAAAAATGGACTTGGACGAAATCTGAATTCCTGTAAAAAAAAACAAAGAAAAGTCTTTGTTCACTTTGGGAAACATCATGACTGTTTACATGTTCCCTGTCCCTGCCTCACTAAAATCCATGGACGACATATACAATGTGTTTGAACGCATATGCTAGCTGGACAATGTTGCCTAGGATGCATCTATAGTCTGACTGTGACTCTTAACAGAGTGTAAACACAAAGGAGGTGTCATAATCGGCAAGATCATCTCCACTATAGGTTGTCCGCTTTGGTTTTGGTCTCACAAAACCTGTCAAGTACATGTCTGGGTTATATTTCACAGCAAGATCAAAAGAAGCGAATAAAAAATCTATATATTTGCTGTATTTTTAGGACCATTGTTTTTATTAATTTCATGACAGTTTTCATTACCATAATGCAATACTCATTCTCATTACTTTAACATGGAAAAGTATTTATGGTCATGGATTTTTCGCTGATTTCAGTTTACATTTACACATTTGAGAATATTGACAATTATTTAAATATATTTAGAAGGATTAAATAAATCAGTGAGAAGTCACATTCACATTTTGGTAAATAAGTATGGGGGAAGGGCTGGGGGGAGATGTGCTAAATTATAATGAAAATAATGATTCTATACGTAAAGCAATTTTTTTGTTGTTGATTGAATTGAAATGTTTTGTCGTCTGTTTTTGTTTGCATTGTTTCTATTCTGTGAATGTGCCCGAAGGCTGTCAATCAGTGTCTAATGGAACAGTGTATGTGATTGGTCATTATTTATTCTGTGCTAACTGTGATTGGTGGTTCTCTCTCTCAGATCTGTCAAAGAACCGGCTCTGTGAGGTGCCAGAGGAGGTGTGTCAGTTTGTCTCTCTGGAGACACTCAGTCTGTACCATAACTGTGTGCGATCCCTCACGCCCAGCCTGTGCCAGCTGCAAGCCCTCACCTACCTCAACCTCAGGTACACACACACCCCTCCCCAGATACACGCTCAGTCTCAGATGTGCACAGAAACACACACATATACAGTGGGGAAAAAAAGTATTTAGTCAGCCACCAATTGTGCAAGTTCTCCCACTTAAAAAGATGAGAGAGGTTTTTTTGAGGAAATTAATATTTTCATCCAGCATGCATTAAATTGATATTTATAGTGTTAGATTTTTATCTCTAATAAATTACATTCTTTTCAAGTTTTTTAAAATCAAAGAATCCTGAAAAAAAAAAACATCACCGTTTCCACAAAATTGCTTGAAAATGTAGCTTTGCCATCACAGGATTAAATAACATTTTAAACTAGATTCAAATAGAAAACAACAATTTTAATTTTGTAACAATATTTCTCAGTATTACCATTTTTACTGTATTTTGACTTCTTCAAAAATATAAAAAAAATGACCCCAAACTTTTGAATGGTAATGTACACAAACTATGTCGAAAATTATCCATTCTTGATCACTTTTAGTCAACTTTGACGAAACTCTTCTCAGCTAGCACGTCTTTTCAAAGTGAACATAGCCTTGTCGCCTGACCTAAATACAGCGCGCTGATTCGCTAAAATAAACTTATCGGCTTCTGTTCAAAAACAATAAGGGCGCTTGTCGGCTTCTGCAGTAAAACGTGAACTCGCGATGCCTTGAAAGTGGACAAAACCGACTTTTTTTGACAAAACGTGTTTAGGGTTCAGATCGCGCTATATGTGGAGAATAATGCACGGCAATCAGCAAATTTTTTTTAAAAGTGGCGTTTATCAGTTTTTGCAAATTAACTCTTCATATGTTTTTCATTTTAAATGAAAAAACAACTGATTTATTTGACTGTATTTGGACATTTCCTGTCATGTTAATGGTTAATGTGATGAACTGCACTTGTGGTTACTCTCACATGACACATTTATGAACTTGAAGGCATTTTAAAAGTCATTTAAATGAGTAATGTTTTGATTCGTGATGTACATTTGTTCGCAGATGTCACTTGATTTGTGACATTCAAGCATTAACAAATAGTTTTTTGGACCAGGTTGACGCGTTTAATTGATTCTTCTCTCATCTCAGTTTAGCTCCAACCCTAATCAAACACACCTGATCCAGCTAATCAAGGTCTTCAGGGTTATTAGAAACTTCCAAGCAGGTGTGATTTAGAGCTGGTTGGAGCTAAACTCTGCAGAGCTGTGGCCCTCCAGGAATTGAGTTTGAGACCACTGCTCTAGATGGTACTCTCGGTTGTCTGTGATAAAATGCCTCTAAAACTTTTGGTTCTTTCTGTAGTGAATGGAGACCTGGAGCAAGTGAATTTTATAGACAACAGTGTAACGGAGGAAGAAGAGGAGAGGTGTCACCCTCCGCTTACAGAGCCCCCTCAGGTGAGGAGGATTTACTGCAGTGACACAAGCAGTACACTGAATATTAAAGGTGCACTCAATACTTTTGTTTTTGACCCTGTGTTGTGCTGGCTGATACTCCAGTGGTCTTGGAAGTTGCAGCTCTATAATGACCACTATTGGCAACAAGAATTTTATGGTACCAATTTCATTAGCCACGTTTACATGCAGCCAAATAATCTGTTAGTGATCTGACTTCGCTCAGTTAGAACAAAGACTGCTTCAAGCACAGTAGTAAACAGCTGGTGGGTAGAACTGGCTGGTGGAAGAGACTACCTGACGTCTTATCATTTTAATGGATAAAATAATTGTTGAGAGGATGAAAAGTAAGAAGCTTATTCAAATAGTTTTTTGAAAGAAATGAAAGTCTTTCAGACAGGTTCTCGTTGCTGTGGAAATAAATGTAACCATTAACATACATAGAGATATTTTTAGCTTTTTACATTTTTAGATATGAAGAGATTTTAGTTTAAGGTACGTATAAACATTGCAGTCAGGTTGTATTTGAATTGATGAAAATGTGTAGCTATCTTTTGTAGAAATACCACATTTTTGTGATGGCATATTTGTCACCTGTGATTAATTACACAACTGAAAGTGTGTGGTATTAGGGGGCAACCCTGATGAAGTGAGAAATATTCAGCTGGTCATGTAATCTCAACATGGCAGCCACTATATGCAGTCAATAGCACTTTTCCTTTCTTTAGGGATAAAGCTGTTTTACATGGGGGAAATAACTTGATGCACCTTTAAGTTAACTAAACCTCCACTCCTACATTTTCAATACATTTTCAGACATATACACTACCATTCAAAAGTTCTGTAAAATATTTATAATGTTTTATGAGTCTCCTCTGCTCACCAATGCTGCATTTATTTGATCAAAAATACAGTAAAACAGCAATATTGTGAAATATTATTACAATTTAAAATAACTGTTTTCTATTTGAATATATTTTAAAATGCAAATGATTTCTGTTGTAACAAAGCTGAATTTTCAGCATCCAGTACTCCTTTCTTTGAAGTTACATCCTTCAGGAATCATTCTAATCGACTGATTTGGAGCTAAAAAAAACATTTAATATTATTATAAATGTTGAAACCATGATAGATAGATATATGATTCTTTGAACGGCATTCATTTGAAACAGAAATCATAAATGTCTTTGTCAATCAATTTAATGCATCCTTGCTGAACAAAAGTATTACTAAAAATAATAATGTTAGTGTAGAAGTCATAAGGTAAAAATTATGCTGATGTAATATCAAATTAAAATGATATCTACTGTCTCCATGACAGGAAAAGAGTGAAAGTACCAGCAGCACATCCTCCCAGAGCCCCGAGTCTACATGCAGCAGGTGAGGGTTTATGCACATGGTCTGTTTACAAATGCATACACTGCTTGCAAAACCTGTTATTATTATTAAAATGTCTCTGAAGGGTCCTCCCGTACAGAAAAGCCCCCTAGAACTCTCAGAAATAGACATTTGTTTGCATTTGAGCCACATAAAATACCAAACCAGCAGTATACTAGCTTGTCTGAGCAGTCTGTTAGGTGACTGATAATGGAATTTTTAGACCTACAGACACTAGCTAAAAAAACATGTAATATTATTATAAATGTTGAAACCATGATAGATAGATATGATTCTTTGAACGGCATTCATTTGAAACAGAAATCATAAATGTCTTTATCAATCAATTTAATGCATCCTTGCTGAACAAAAGTATTACTAAAAATAATAATGTTAGTGTAGAAGTCATAAGGTAAAAATTATGCTGATGTAGTATCAAATTAAAATGATATCTACTGTCTCCATGACAGGAAAAGAGTGAAAGTACCAGCAGCACATCCTCCCAGAGCCCCGAGTCTACATGCAGCAGGTGAGGGTTTATGCACATGGTCTGTTTACAAATGCATACACTGCTTGCAAAACCTGTTATTATTATTAAAATGTCTCTGAAGGGTCCTCCCGTACAGAAAAGCCCCCTAGAACTCTCAGAAATAGACATTTGTTTGCATTTGAGCCACATAAAATACCAAACCAGCAGTATACTAGCTTGTCTGAGCAGTCTGTTAGGTGACTGATAATGGAATTTTTAGACCTACAGACACTAGATCCTCAAACTGATCTGTGCTCGAGTGTGGTATCAGGTTAGCTTACACAGCGCCTTCTGTTAGACACGTTTATTTGACAAACTTTGCAAATAGTTTCGGCTTGATCTGGATCAGATACTTTCAAAATCTGTCAGACAGATGGCATATTTTCATTCCAAGAGATGGAGTGAAGTTTTGGTACAAAATATGTTTTATCATAGATCTGCTCTCAGTGTTGGCCATGAAGAAACATCAGTCATATAGACATACTGCATTCAAACTAGACAATGCAGGATAAACAGAGTACAAGGACATCACAAAGAGCATCTGAATTTGAATGCATTTGAATACAGCTGGTAAGGATCTGTTCTCGTGCTACAAAATATGTGGACGGGCATGATAAATAGAGGAGAGGAAGACATTGTACTGTCTAATGGAAAGTTTCCAGTAGCTCTTCTTAGAGTGTGGATGAAGCCAATGACCAAAAGTGCTCCAAGACGGAGAAGATGTGCAGTTGTTCATTGTAGGGAAAAATAGAAGTAGAAAAAAGCAGCAGACAGTCAGAATTACAATGACCTGTTTCTCCAGTTCCTGTGTGATTTGAAGGCCACTGTGATGTCCTTCAGTTGATTATAATACATGCTCAAACAGTTGCCGTGAAAAACAGTCTCTTAATTAAAGTGTGCTGGATCCCTCCTCCACTTTGATTGTGCAAGGTCAATCTGTGAGGCAGTGCTGGGAAAAGTCAACAGTGCGTTTCCTCCCACAGTTTCTGTGTAACTGAGTGTCTTACTGTCAGTTACTCAGTTAATTAATCTGCTTTATTCTGTTACAACAGCAGCCAAATGAAGGATGTTTTTACTGTCAAAAATAGTAAAAAATAATAGTTGACTACTTCCATTATTCTACGCATGCACAATATCAAAATAAAATCAAAAGTGTGCTGTGGCTTAGTGTGATTTTCACATTGCAATGGCTGCACCTTTGTTAAATATATGCTCTGCGTGGTTCAGAGTGAAGTGAGCTTCACTGAAGCGTGTTTATGCAAGCAGCTCATGATTCAGTGTTTTCAGTGTCTTGGAGTGGCTCGGTTCACAGTAAATACTGCTCCACACAGAAACTCCATCTCATTTTGGGAATGTTATGTGTGGCAGCAACACCACCCTTTACATATTCTATTTTTTTATTTTACAGTACAATAGTACTGTACATTACTATTACAATTGTTGTCAAAAACAATGTAAATGTGTGCCAAATCATTCAACCCTAAAAGGATGTTTTACACAAAGTAATTTCAGATTTTTGTAATTATTTTTTTTCTGTGCAAATACACAATAAATAAAACTATAACTATTGACTATAAATAAAAATCCCCAATTATTATCATTCTTTCCAAACCGAGCTAAAAGTAAAACAAAATAAATAAAATATATATATATAGTGTGTGTTCAGAATGACCTGAAAGTCTGGTAATGTAGTGTGTGATCCTGTGTGATTTTGAACTCCTAACTGTAAGTGATACCTCAAATCATATGGCTTGTTGTGGAGAGGTGTGTTATTAAGTTTTTAAAGGTGACATATCATGAAAATCTGACTTTTCCTGGTTTTAAGTGCTATAATCAGGTCCCCCGTGCATCTACCAACCAAGAAAACAATCACCCAGAACACCCTAAAAACTGCACAGCAGTGACAAAAAACCACCACCAACACCCTTGCATAGTGGTGGTGACTTAACAAAGACCGTTTCATCAGAAAAAGCTATATTAAGTTGTAACCTTTAGGTGAATATTCTTGAGAAAAAGATTCAAGACCTAAATAAATAAAGACGTAAATCTCTCTCGCTTCGCTTCAGGATATTTGTGATTGGAGATGGTTCAGACTCCGGCTCACCATCCAGTCCTACTTTAGAGGAGAGAAGGAGACCTGGAAACCTGCTCATCTGGCAGGAGAGAGAGAGAGCCCAACAGCAGAGAGACAGAACTAGCACGTGAGTGGATGATGGGATTAAATGAACGTGTGGCGTCAAAAAAGACTGTTAGGCCTTAAAAGCGTTAGAACTAACAAGCCTGTTTGCTAATGCATGGCAAGCAATAAAAAATCTACAAAAGCACATTATGGCTATAAAGTGTATAAAATGGCCTTTTTATTTCCTTTCTGATGCTTCATCATCAAAGGCTTCGTGGTTGTAAAGGAATCCACTGTTACCTGCGGTCGCGTGCCTTTACTTCATTAGTGTCTTAAAGCACAGATAGAGTCTTGAATCATTGTAAAGAATAGCCAGAAGGAGAACATCAGAGGGGCTCTCCCAGAATGCCTATATTTATAAGAACAAAGTCTTGTGTGCTTTTCTTCTGTATTATGAGTCTATTGACTAATAAACGTTTGATGTCTTACAGTTTGCAGAAGATGACTGTAAAAACAGGAAGTAACTTGGCAACGACGACAAAGCACGGAGGAACAGGAAGTGTTTCAGGGTAAGAGTGAGCGAATGGCCTGCATATGCGTTTGTCTTCTGCATTTGAATGCGTGCTTTTGTTAACATTTTGTTGTGCCAATCTGAGTCTCTTTTAACAGAAAAGGCAAAAATCTGAAATTGAGACACTCAAGGGACCAGATTACTTGCTGTGGCTAAATAATGAACAGTCAAATCAAACAGACATACTGTACCTTATTTAAAATGAGCTTGCCTTCATAAAACAGGCATGATGTAGTTGTAGTATTACAACCTATTTCTATTTCACGTTGTAGTTGTCTAGGTGGTGAAGTTCTCAAAGCAGTTGATTGTTGATCTCTGTGTCCCTCTAGTGGTGATTCTGATAGCAACGCTCCACCCAATGGCCTGAAACAGAGATGTGCAGTGAGTACTTTTACTGGAGTGTTTAATTATACATGAGCGTTTAATACTTCCTTAAACTTATTTCTCTCTCTTCCTGTCAGAGTGTAGATCAGGTTTCTCCATCCTCTCAATCGGGGTCTTTACAGCGCTCCATCAGTCGCCCAGGTACCCTCCATACCAAGATGCTTCTAGCTTACATCACGTTATTAACAGACAGTACAAATGAAAAATAGCATTTAAGATCTATCTTTTTTTTTTCCTTTCTTTCTCACTTTCAAATCAGGCAGCTTTCTGTTGGTCAGTGCTGCAAATCCACATGACCAACTTGAACCTGTTTTGGAATATGCTTGGGGAAAATATTTCACATTCATGTGAAAATATAGTTTAATTTACAGGCACTCCTAGTTCCTGTAAATTAAGCCACTAAAATAATTATAATTTAAATTTAATTAATTGATTTTAAGTTTTACAAGCTGAATGTTCTTCAGGGATTTAAGCAATTAAAAAAAATGGAATGAAAGTAATTTACATGATCATTTTCAGTCATTCATTTAGCTTCTTTTAATGCTTTTCGTCTCATTTAAAGGGTCATGAAACCCCAGACTACTTTTAGCAGAGGTGTTTGTGTTGCACATCATAGAAGACAATGTTAGCATCCGATCATTTTAACTGTTGGAGAAAACTGGTTAATTTTAAAATTAAGCCACTAAAATAATTATAAATTAAATTTAATTAATTGATTTTAAGTTTTACAAGCTGAATGTTCTTCAGGGATTTTTTAAGCAATTAAAAAAAATGGAATGAAAGTAATTTACATGATCATTTTCAGTCATTCATTTAGCTTCTTTTAATGCTTTTCGTCTCATTTAAAGGGTCATGAAACCCCAGACTACTTTTAGCAGAGGTGTTTGTGTTGCACATCATAGAAGACAATGTTAGCATCCGATCATTTTAACTGTTGGAGAAAACTGGTTAATTTTAAGCTTTTTTGCGCTATTTTCATCTTCCGGGTTTAAAATCTACATTGTGTTGACGTCACAATTTGTGACGTGGCAATGGACTATAGTACATCGATGACGTGTCGGTGTCTATTAAATTATTCATGAGACTGCGTGTTCCTATCCTATGAGAAGACGTTTTGCTTAATTATTCACAACAGCATGTGTTGATTTTCTATGACAGACGTTTCAGAGTCTGTGAGATGACATCTGACGCACATTAGAGAGAAACGTTCATGGATCGAAGAAGGGTGTTTGTTTTTGCTTTGTAATAAGAGTTTGGCACAAACGCGATTCATTCACTTGGTGAGCATAACCTCTGTGACAGAACCCTTCAAAAGGCTTATATCAAGGGGGGGGGGGGTTTCATGACCCTTTAAAAAAAAATCAGCACTGTGACCACCAGAGAGCATTGCTGTTTCAAAAGTGCTTTTTGACAGGGTTTTTATTGTTGTTTTTGTTGAGAGTAATATAATATAGTTTGTATCTATACGTTTATACCTTTATTTATATACAGTAGCACTTTATACAGTACAGATTGTTTCAAAGCAGCTTCACATTAATAAACAGGAACATAACCGAATCAGTGATGCAGACTAAATCTGTTTTAAAGCAACAAGACAATAGTATAATTATTCAGCTCAAGTCAGTTCAGTGTTGGTTCAGTTCAGTAACTGTGTAAAGTTGATCAATTATGAAACAAGTTAAATTCAGCTTAAAGCAGCTCTGCTGAAGACAATGATAATATTACTGAATGAGCCAAGCTCAGTTAGGGGACCAATTCTTCTCTGGCCTAAATATAATATAATCTCGACACAATATATTGATTACATTTTTGTTTTATTAACGTCAGTTTTTCTGTGTTCTGCTGAAGCTGTATTGGTACCCAGTCTTAATGCAACTTCAGTATTTAATGAATCATGTTTGTATCCTGTTCCAGATGCATCCTCTGTGAAGCCCTGTTCTCCTACAGGTTCTGCTCCCAAACCCAACAGCTTCTTATTCCGCACATCCTCACGCTGCAACGTCAAGACAGGTACACACACATAGAGAAGTAAATCTAGGAATATAGGAGGTATTTTCTTGATTTGGTCGATACTATATGTTGTCTCTTTCTCTCAGGATCAGGAAACAGTTTGGCGGAGTCTGGCTGCAGTGACTCCCGCTCCACACTCAGATCCCCTCGAGAGGAGAGAACAGACATCTTGCAACTGCGTAAAGTAAAGAGGCATCCCGTATTATTCATCTCACCATCTTTAGCTCTTCTGACACACCTCACCCCAATTTTTGATACAGACGCTTATTGTTTACTACTTATTTTATTTCTAGTCATTTTTTTTTTCCAAAATATATTTTAGAACTAAAATGTACACTACTGTTCAAAAGTTTGGGTCAGTAAGATTATTATAATTTTTTTTTAAAAAGAAATTAAATCTTTTGTTTAGCAAGGTGCATTGAATAGATACAAAGTGACAAAGTTTTTATAACAATGTAAAAGTATTATTTCAAGTAAAGGCTGGTTTCTTTTTCTGAAAAAAAATATCACAGTTTCCACAAAAATATTAAACGGCACAACTATTTTCAACATGAATAATAAGAAGAAATGTTTCTTGAGCACAAATCAGCATATTACAGTATATTTCACAATAGTACTGTTTTTGATCAAATAAATGCAGCCTTGGTGAGCAAAGAGACTTCTTTCAAAAACGTTAAAACAAATTTCGCAAATCGATCCCAAACTTTTGAACAGTAGTGTAATAAGTAATACATTTTATTAATAGCTTATTATTTCAGGTCACTGTGAGTGTCCCATAATACTCTAAATAGTTTATTATTATTATTATTATTATTATTATAGTCCAGTATTGTTTAAGGGTTGGACAGGAGTTTAATATTTATGATTTGCCTGATTTTCTTCAACAACATTCAGCTGTTTTATAAGTGATATGTTCTGATATGATCTCTGGGGTCTTGAAAAAGTGTTATGCATCTTCCAAGAAAATTCCCTCCAGACATCTGTTCGTTTAGTTTTAAAAGTATTATTATTTTTTTTATTTCTTCCCAATAGTCTCACTTTTTCCATGTCTCTCTGCTAGACTCTGGAGTCGCGTCTGAAGATCTCTGTGCCTGAGGATCTGGGAGAGGCATTGTCCAATGGCACAATTCTATGCCAGTTGGCCAATCACGTGCGACCCCGTTCTGTGTCAATCATCCACATCCCCTCACCGGCAGTGGTGAGCTAATGCTTAGATCTTATTCTCATCATGGCCAAAACATAATCTAGTATCTCATAAAACAAGCACTATGTCTGGATCTTTCTGTGTAATCCTTATTCATCCATATTTTAAAAAGGCTGATCCAGGATCAGCTAGATTACTAGCAGGCTGCATATCCTGTTGGATTCTAATTTTTATAATACTGCCAGAAAGCGCTTTTATTCAGAAACATGTTTAAGTGGAATATTTTGAAAATGTATCACCTGAATTTCAAAGTCCATCTTCTCTGTACTGTGAACACTGTCACAGACACCGCTGATGCTGTCTGACATATATATCAGAGCAAATTCCTCACCCATAATGCCTTTCAACTTACACATTATCCCCGCAGATATCTAAATGGTTTGGAAAATGAGGGTAGTTGTAAGACTTAAGAACTTAATTTTTCTATAAATATTGAAATATATCGCAAATTATCAGAGGTCTTGATCAGATATGGAGATTTTTCCGCACCAAAAATCCTCATAAACAGCTCAATGGCCACATACTCCTTTTTATTTAGAGGATGTGGAATCTGGCTACCGCCAGACCTTGAGATCGCCTGAATGGATTCGAAAACGGTAAAACTCAACTGTTTAACTCTAGGGGAGTTGGAAAATGAACCTATTTTCAAAAATAGTGGAGTGTTCCTTAAAATTGTGAACAATTTTGTTTTTTAAAAATTCGCATCTGTGTTACTGCTCATGGATGCACAATGTAGATATGCAGACGTTACCAAATTACAACTTATAACATTGTTTTTAATTAAAGATGAAATGATTGTGAGTCGTGCTTCTCCACAGCCTTCTCCGTCTGCCGTCTCCTGATTCTAAATGTGGCTGAGTGGGTTTGTAGTCCTGTAATGTGCCATAAGCACCCATCTTTTCCGGTGCTGTATGCTGATGTTGCTTTTGTATTCCGTGCCTACTTAATGTGATTTAGGAGCTTTGCCGACAGTTTACTAACGAGCAGCCTCTCATCTGGAGAGAACGATAAGAGGAGAGAGGAAGAGAGAGAGAGAGACTGGAAAATAAGGGTTTATGAAGGGATGTGCTATAACTAGTTACTAACGCATCATCCCTCACCCTACAATGTCTTAAACACATTTTAAGGGAGCTTGTTCAAACGTATGTACGTTGAAGAGGTTTTATAATATTGTACATTGTTGTCAATGCTAAAGCTAATCATAATAGACATTTGATTTAAAATGTCCACTCTGATAATGAACTCAGACTTCACATGTAGCATAGACGGACTTCCTTACAGTTGCTCAAGAGACCTCAGCCATATGAAATAAGGATTGTGATGTGCTACATGTTGAAGGCTTTTATAGAGGATGACTAATTCTACCGTCCTTCTCATACATACGCTAGACTCAGTTTAGAGGGCCCTAGATCTACATGAATGTTTCAGTCCAAATGTTACCTAGTGGAAACTGTTGCAACACACACAATGTATTTTGTAATATTTATAAAATACTGTGTATTTAAGAAGTTAATAAGTTTATATTGATATAAAGATTTTCTTTTGTCTGTAAAGAAATTATTAAAATACTGAAACACTGATTATTATGTTTTGTCTGCTGCTTTACATGTGCTTTTGTCAAATGTTCATGACTGACTGTTGCTCTCGCTCATGATTAATTCTGCTTTAGTTCATTGGCTCTCTGCTGAGGTTGAAATCCTCACATCAGCTCGTCTCTAGCTAGGTATTCTGTGGCCTTCACCAAAAGGTAAGTGTTGATCCGTCATGTGGGTAGTAGTAAACAGAGAAAAAGAAAAGTATACACTGTTACACAGTGGGGTCCAAAGGCTAAGACCACATTGAAATAATTTTTTTGTTGTTGTCTCAACCCCCCACAAACTTGTGGACAGTGCTGCTGCCGTTAAAGCAAAAAAGAATGATAAAAATTACAAAAGAAACTTTGCTCTTTGAAAAATCTGAAAAATGCTTTTGGAGACTTATAGACCCCACTGTGTGTTTGTTTATAAAGGAAGATAAGTATTTACACTACCTTTGGGGTCGGTAAGATTTCTTCATGTTTTTGAAAGAAGTCTCTTGTGCTCACCAAGGCTGCATTTATTTGTTTAAAAAAAAGAGATTTTGAAATGTTATTACAATTTAAAAGAACTGTTTAAAATTTTCAGCAGCCATTACTCCAGTCAGTTGAAAACCGTTGTTCTACTACATATTTTTTTTGGAAAACGTTATCTATTTTCTTCAGGATTTTTTAATGAATAGAAAGTTCCAAAGAACACATTTATTTGATTAGAAATCTTTAATGTATCATTATTGATGTCGTTACTGTCACTTCTGATCAACTGAATGCGTCTGATAAATAAAAGTATTTACTTCTTTAAGAATGGTAGTGTATGCATACAGTACATGTTCATATAAAATGTAAATACTGTAAGAGTTTTTGATATAAAACTGCAGGATAGAACTGTTTTTTAGATGAAAATACACCGCCACCCATCAGCACAAACAACTTTACAAACCCCAGAACAAATCAAAGTAACAGAAAATAACTGAGCATGTAAGCGTTCATCCATTAAGTAAATGCTACTTTACCTGCTATTATTGGTCATAAGTCACTGCAACAGTTCAGTTTTTGTCTCATCAAACTGAACATTCACTCTGCAGGAAGTGAAGAAAGAACACTGCCGTAAAGTTGTCTTTATAGCAGCTTCAAGCATTTTTACAAATAATCAACACTTAAAATTGATGAATGTCATTGCTCTGAGCAAACTTGAGTTTTTAAATAATTTAAAGGGGTCCTATTATGCTTTTTCAACTTTAGTTAGTCTGTAATGTAGCTGTTTGAGCATAAAAAAAGATCTGCAAAGTTCAAAGTCCACTTCAAAAGGAGATATTTTATTTAACAAAACTGCAACGAACGACTCGTTTGGACTACATCGCATATTTTCCGGGATTTGTGATATCACAAATATCGACGAATGGGACGAGACCTGGTTGAGCTGCACTAGAGAAGGCAACGAGTGTTAACACTGTGTCGGAGACACGCTAGCTTTCCCAAGGCAGATGAACTTAGAGTGGTTACAATCATCCGGGTTTAAATCGCGTTCAAATTGATTTGATTTTGAGCAATATTTACACTGATCTAATCATAAGGCTATGGTAAGGGGCATGACATTTCCCGACCAGGTGCCGAGTGCTGCCAATCACAACACACACTGGCCCAGCTAACCAGCCACAGCACATTTTGTATTTCAGGCGGGCCTTCATTTGATACAGGAACTATTCGAGCCGTTCATGCCAGACTGAGGAGAGAGGTGTTGTGATAATGTAAAATATGTGAAAAAGAATGTGTTTTTCAACCTAGTATGAGAGCCTGTTCTAGTACACCCCCAAAACAAAATCAAGACTTTGTAAAAGAGCATAGTAGGACCCCTTTAAAAAAGTGTTTCTTCCTACCACACTTGCCGGTGTTACCGTGTAAATGAACTAATTAGGACAGTATCAAACACAGGTGCATTACACTGAAATCGTGTGAAGCACTTTATCTGCGTATAGCTGTACTTTCATCAAGCAATTCTTTTGATTACTTCTGAAATCATTAAAGTGTGTCAAAGCAGGAGAGTGAATACTTGTGCACTCATTTGTTCTCTATTTATTATTTTTTATTAATTAACTGGCCAACTAATTTTTCACTTTGACATTATGAAGTGCTTTGTGTTCATGAGGGAGAACAGTTCCTAATTAATTAATCACTTTTTCTTTTAATTATGGAACATTTTTTCTGCATTAAAAATGTCTCCGCCATTAAAGAAAATCAGTTCTAATTTCAGAATTCTGCTCATTCTCCTATAATTAAGTGTTTTTTTTACGAGTTGATGAATTTGTGCATTTTGATCTACAAACTCTTTGTTTATAATACTCGTCTGAAGTAGAATCAGCCATGCACTTTTCTTCATAGCATTTCAGTAGTATATAACTTTTCTGAGCACATGACATATAAATCATAATTGAGTTCTACATAATTATAATTACAATAATAAGCACTTCCAAATAAATAAATAATTCCAGTAATTGATGCCCCTACCAATAAAGAAATTCCTCATTGCCAGTTACCATATGGCTGCATTCATATTTTCTGTTTACTGTAAAGCTGTGTTAGTAAACTTGAGAATATGTGCGCATACACACCTATTTAAGCTTAACAGAGAAGCATGAAAAAACCCAGATGTTGAAGAAATGTTTTTAATAGGGCAATAGGAAAAAACACCTCAAATTGTGTCTTAAAAATATAATTATTGGCTTCTTTACGGCACAATAGTGGGTTAAAAACACAATACGTTCACATTGTAATACTGCTGCGCTGTTATTGTGTTAAAGCAATGAGCTTACAGTAAAATCTGATATATACTGCATGTGTGATATACAGCCTGAATATGGCAATAAGAGCCTGTTCTCAAATGCAACTCATCCATAATCTATACTTAATGTATACTGTTAGGGTTGACTGAACGTAACAATTGGAATGCATGATGGATTTTCAAGATGGTCTGCTGGCTTGTTATGCTCCCCTCACTGTGCTTCACCCTGGGATGAAACCGCATCCCCTATGTGAAATGCTATAACTGCATACGCCGCTGCTGTGCAATATAGCTGGCAATTCAAAGAAATGATTTTGAGATCAAGTGTTGTGCTGCATGCTTTGCCTGCCCTTCCTGTGTCACGTGTTTCAGAGAGTCACAAGTGCTTCTTGTTGCCACTTTTTGTATGTGATCCTGTCTGCACCTGAGGAGGATCTTGCATGTTGTAGGTCCTTCAGATGACAGATGGGAGTTGCATGCCTCAACCATCCTTAGGTGCATGGAAAGCTTTTCATATCGAGGTCTAGGATCTTGCTTGTTTACCCAGAGTGCGTTTCACCCTTCAGCATCTCCACTTAGAAGCATATATTTGCAGATTTTAGGGCCTGCAATACAAGAAACAATGTTCTGTCTGACTGTGCCAAGATGTTTTATTGCTTATTTTATGATCTTTTTTTTTTTGAGTAAACAAATTTAAACTGGTATTCTTTTTTCATCATCAAATCCCACCAGGACACACTGTGTCCGCCGCAGCTGATTCTGGAGGAAGAGGGGCTCACGCGCATCGCTCAGACCGTTCAGGCACTTTTGGAGTTGCCTACATCAGGTTCCCGTCGCTCATCCCGTCAGGACCCCTCAGGGCTTCCTCTTCAATCCACGACTCAAAATCAAGATGCTGCCTCCTAGTGATCAAGTGAATATTTCCAGCACATTTCAGATGCACAATGTTTTTTTTGTTTTTTTTTTCAAATGTGAGAAATTTGGATCAGCAGCCATCATGTAATAATACCATCTTAAATGATTTAGCATGTTGCCTGTTACAACCCATGTACAGAGGATTTTATGTAAATTACAAGAACAAATTCATTGCGGCTATTGAAACAGACGAAACGAAGCACAATAAAGCAAATTTAACTTAAAACTGCTTGTCTGTTGCATATTTATGCAGAATATATGATGCAAGACGTTACCTAAATGAGCCTCGTTACTGAGGTAGTTGGCTGTTCTTGTGTAATCATTTTGTTGGTGCTTCCTCATAATTGAAACTTAATTACGTTTGTAATCTCAGCTTTATTACAATGCAAATTTAATTGGTTTTTCACAGATAATTACTCTTGCGGAGCAGCAAAGGTGGCAGTAATCCTGTGATAAGCTAACAACAGCTCTTGGGCTCAGATTGGGATATTTTGTGCAGATTTGGAGTGTCGGACAAACAATGTGGCTCCCTATAGCTCTGCCACGACACCCTTATTTAGCAATAGCTGTGTGTCAAATGATCTATTTAATTTGCTGTGAATTAAAAAGTAGTTTATTAAGAGTGTAGCTAAAAAGCTGAAACAACCTTTTAACCTCTTTGTTTTATTTTAAACCAGTGACTGGAATAAAAATTTGGAGAAATGAATCTCCATCTTACACAGTTGGGAATAAAGTGAGTTGATTATCCAGCTTATTATGTTAAACAAAGACTAAAAACCGAAATTGCTTAAATAGCGTGATTCAGCAGCTCAATTGGGAAGCGGCCTGGATTCTGACGTGACTCTAAAACACTGAATTTCTTGTGTTTGAGTCATTATGTTTTGTGTAATTACCATGTTTCATGACTCATTCAGTCTCTCTTATGTTTCTGGAACACAGTCAAATGTTCTGATGTTGAATTTCTTGGTATAGTTTGTAATTGATTGGTCTCTCAGTTACAGTTACACCATTCAGGCCCTGAAACAGCAAAACAACCCACAGCATACTTCTCCATTAGCATTGCATCACATCTGGGATCAGGATTAGCTTTCAGTACACAGTGCTCTGTTTTCCATGAAGATGCTGTTTACATCCACCCAAAAGGCTAGCATCTGACTAATTTAGCTGCTTCTGACAAGTGACAGATGAATATGATCCAAAATAACATATATGTTAATTAGACTACTGGGGCTAGTTGTCACTTTTTATTTATTTTTTTTTTTTTTACTGAAGTGAGTTTTTTTCAGGGTAGAGTTTTTTTTTTTTTTGAAGGTCATTCTCTATATATAGACATACCTAAAGTCTAGAAAAAGCCATTGAACGTTTCTACTGCTGTTGCTCAGGGGAAAAAAAGTAGTTAATTGAACACATTAACCTGCTGTTTATTGATATTCATATTGAATGGATAGAGACCGTAGACTTTTTACTGTGTAGTACTGTAAATAGTATGCTCTTCAATAGCTTTCAGCAAAAATTAAATGGCAAAAATAGACAAGGTAACAAAAAAAATTCAAGCCGCTGTTTAGGCCAATTGGTTACTGTAATTAATAAATTATATAAAATAACATTCAAAACAACACGTACAGTATTTGACAACCAAAGTGATTTGTCTCTTTGTGTCTGCAGTATCATACAGGAGTTTTCGAAAAAAGTAGTTAATTGAACACATTAACCTGCTGTTTATTGATATTCATATTGAATGGATAGAGACGGTAGACTTTTTACTGTGTAGTACTGTAAATAGTATGCTCTTCAATAGCTTTCAGCAAAAATTAAATGGCAAAAATAGACAAGGTAACAAAAAAAATTCAAGCCGCTGTTTAGGCCAATTGGTTACTGTAATTAATAAATTATATAAAATAACATTCAAAACAACACGTACAGTATTTGACAACCAAAGTGATTTGTCTCTTTGTGTCTGCAGTATCATACAGGAGTTTTCTCTTCTTTCTGCATGGATGTTTGGACACAATAACATATCTATGAATGTTTACGCTTCACTCGTGGGTGGTATTTCAGTTGTTGAGCTTTAATGATTATTCATTTTCACTAAATAATATGTTTCCTAATACAAAAATGGGTGCTCAGAAATGCTTTTTTCATAATGTCTTTTGATACTGTGTACTGTATCGTGCCAAATGGACTCCAATGCTGTTACTTGGTTTCTTGAAAGGTAATGACATCTTAATAAATACTGGGTACAATGGGACTAAAATCTTTATGATCAGAGGTAATAAACATGATGTATTACAGATATGCTGAGAAAATACTTGATTGTTTGTCAGTTTTGTTGAATGTGATTCATATGTGGAATATAACTATTCGAACATCTCAGCTTCCAGGTGTCCATTTTCTGAAAGTGAAATAAAAAGTCTTTATAAAACACTTAGTTAAGAGGTTCTGAAATGTCAGAGATGATTATATGAACAGGCAACTGATAGCCTACACCATTTGCTGAAGTAGCTATTTTGAACAAGTGTGTAGGCACTTAAATCCACTCAAAAAATATCTTTCAGATATCAAAAATATTTGCATATGAACATTTTGCAAACTACATCTGCACTGTATCCGTAGTGTCTTGAAGTATGGTGTTAAATACTCTTGTATTTATTCTTATATCAGCTTTAATCAAAAACGTATTTTGCCGGTTTACCCAAATTTATTTTCAGTATATAAAAAAAGAGAAAAGGCCTCACTTTTAAGGAAGGCTTTTAGCACCGCTGTACCCTATTTGAACCTAAATATAGCCTACTTTCAGCACACCAGTATGAAGCCACAGAAGTTGATAACATACTCCTTACCTCTATCATGAAAACAGCTGAAGAAGAAAGAGTCCCCCCGGCAGACTGGAAGAGGAATCTTAGAAAGTACCTTTTCTGTGACACTCAGGGGGGAAGATGAATGTGAGAAGTGACGTGTCTGAGCTGCTATTAAAGGTCCGATTCAGAGGTTGGGTGAGAAAACAGCAGCTATTGAGATCAATTCAGTTCTGCCACTCTGGAGCTTTAGAGCGAGAGATTTTACGTCGCTAAAATGGCAAACAGTCACTTACGCTCCGCTTCGGCTTTCAAAAGCTCACAAATTCACATTTGGCACCAAAGCAATAGCTGTAACAATTGGAATTGTTGGAAATTCCACAATCTACGCCACTGGATATAACGTAGCCGTGAGTGAAAGGCTGACAGGCTCTATACTCATCGCATGCTATTTTACGTTCAGTCTCAAATGGAGCTCTGCTGAGTCCAAAAGCTGTACTGTGGTAGACATACCAATTTGATTACAGGCGGCCTGCATCAATTATTAATGTAAGCACTTTCTTCAAAGTGCATCTTTAATATCGAGCGCAATAGGCCTACTCCTAGACTCACCTGACCAACATCAGCTCAGACTCGGCTCACTTTCTCAGGCATGATGCCAGGCGTGCCCCTGATGATGTTGTAATGGGAGGTTTGTTCTTGCATGCAATCGGCAGAATTGGAGAACAGCAGTCACACGGGATCAATATTTAAACATAAATCTTAGCACAGCTTTGATGCCTCAATACTGTTGATTAATCAGTTAAGTGCCCTGTTTTCTGGCCACTGAGGAAATACTGCTGTAAAATGTCTTGTGTGAATATTGCTTTGCTTCAGTTTCTAAGCAGTGATGTGCTCGATTCTCATGTCCGACCCAATATGCAGTGACATTTCCACTTGTTCTAGGTTGTAATTTGTTTACATTCTTGTATCATGTTCTGTTCCGTTGAATTGAATGCTGCTGCATTACATTGCGTTTCAATTACGCTTTGTCCCATTGTTCTGTGCTCGACTCTATTTGATTACACTCTACTCTGCTGTGTTTCATTCTGCCCTTGTCTTATGAAGTTAAAGAACAGACTGTGGCCTCCAGTGCTATTGACTCACCGACGATCTGGTCACATTATCACGGACATGTTTCAGAGCATATGGCTCTATGTAAGACATTGTAACCTCTCCAAGTAGCTTATTTAACGGGGTCCTGCTTTTCTTGTTCATCCGCTTTGTGGGATATGCTATAAAGTCGAGTAGAATCAAGTTTAGTGTTGTTTAATATTTTTGGGCAGTTGCGTATCTGTGCTGGACAGCTGCATCTCTTCGGTCATCAAAGTTTTGAAGGATCCTGAGAATAATAGTCAGCAAAACCAGTCCACTTTCTGTACTCTGGCAAGAACTATTAGACGTGTTCAATAAACTAAACTAAGATACAATTAAGTAGAATGAAGTTAGTTTGAAACATCAAATGTCTGTCTCTCCCCCATAAAAAGGTCATATTGGCCTGTCCCACATCAGAGGTCTTGATCTTCTTGACTACATCTAACAACTAAAATCAGAGAATTATCATAGGTGCACTACTTTAGTTAACATTATCTGAGAAATACTACTAAAGCATTTATTAATCCTAGTTAATGTTAATTTTAACATTTACTAATAATACATTATTACAAATCAAAAGTTGTATATGTTACTATTATTTAATGGACCTGAGTTGACTAATGTTACCAAAGACTAAATAATCAAGAATAAATCAATATTATATAAAATATAAATTAATATAAATATATAAACACATACAAATACTGAAGCAAATATATTGCTCAACATATTGCTAATGCATTAACTAATGGAATCATATTGTGAAGTTTTACCCCCAATAAAAAAAAAGAAAAGAAGTATTTTTAATTGCCAGATTGCAATTATAGCTGTCCTTTTGCCTGCATTTCTGTGAAAAGAAAAAGGAAACATTTTAATTTCTTAATATTTATATACATAAGAACACCTGATATTAATCTAATCTAACCCAATTAGAATATCTTTTTTATTTGATATTTATTTATTTATTATAATTAAAATTTTGGTTCTGTTAAAAGTATTTTATTTTGC